ATATTCACCACTATCAATTTGCAATCTGATCATGTTCCAGATATTCCAAAGAGCATGAACTCAAAATTGACTGAGAAGACAGATGATGGTCTTTCTAGAATCTCTTTCCTTTTTGTCCTGTCTGAAGTGTACGAGTGGTAATGCCGAACACTATAGATGAGAAAAACGCTCATACGCTGCGAATAAGTGCAGGCTTCAACAACTTTACTTTTAGCAAATTCTGCTACCGCAACAAACACCTAGATCTATATGCGGATATTGCAGCTTCGCAGTCAAATAGTGTTGGGTAAGGTGAAATATGCTCTAGTTAAACATATCCAAATTTTGCTCGATTTGGTCCACTAAGAAAAAAGTTATGAACGAAAAAGCGTCAAAGCATTTCACCGAAGACTTTTGAGCGCTATTGTATGTACCAACAAATATGTTACAGTAACAGAACTGCTTTTGATTTAGCATGGTTTTTGAAGATTACTTAAATTTTAAAAATGTGCCTTTGTCTGAAACGAACTCGCTTTCTTTCTAGGAAAACATACAAGTACCAACCCTAAAAGGGGCTAGGTGGTGACGGCAGATTAGGAAAACAGAGAACTTCAACACCGCCACTGTTTTTTGTCTGAAAACAACTTTAGGAAGATGGGTGGTATACGATACAGAAAGCGACAGTAACTTGGTTGAAACGTTAAATAATGATCATTGAGGTTTTCGTTTCGAGAAACACGCCCAGCTCGTGAAACCTATCAGCGGCATTTCACGGTTGACCAGACAAAATACAGCCAAACAATGACTGACAGACTGAAGAGTAGGCGTTCGAGACATTCGACGACATCTTGAAAACCCTGTGTGAAGAAATCTTAAGCATTATCGGCAGTAAACCAGATACATTTGGCTTTCTGCCGTTATGGTCCCTTTAGTTTGTCGGGAAGATTCGATAGAACCTCAAGGATGCTTTGCTATTATCAAAGTATTACCAAAGTTCTGTTTCATAGACGGTAACGACTATCGCCTAAAACTATTCCCTTTTATCCTCCAGGCTTTGCCAGGAAAATACAGAAATGAAAAACTAAACAACTAGTAGGGTAAGCTTCGGTTTTTCAACAATCGTAATGCTCTCCACAATCGTAATGAGCATCAGTTCCATTTGTCAGGGTGCTACGTTTTACTGTACATGGCTCAACTTTCTCCAACCGTTCTTTCATGGGATCATATCCCTGCTATATAACAACAGAATGAATAAGTAAATAGATTAGCGACGATAAAGTGTGCAGCACGGCCCCTATAAGGTCCTTACGTTTTGCTGGTAGTATCTGGAGGGCTTTAATGCGGAAAACGGTATCAGAATCTCAAATTTATCAATAAAACAATGAAATACAAAAAGCTAACAGTCAGTCTATTTTCTTGTTTGTTTTAGTTTGGAGACTCATTCCAAAGCCTTTTCAATATTTGGCGTATTTTCAAACCATTACTGTTTTGGATTTTTCTCTTTTGAACGGTCTGACTTGATCGCTACCTCTCTAGATCTCTTGTCAAGCATCGCTTTTAGATCTTTGATGATGGAACTCCTGGAACGCTCCGCCTGAATTCCCGTGTGCATATCTGGCGATTCGGCCTTTGTTCGATCTGTTTTTAGTTGAGCAGATGTTGTGGCAGAATCTGGTGTGACATCCACCGAATCCTCTTTTTTCTTTTGAACTGGTTGTGAATGGCCTAGCTGAAGAAGTTTGGATGTTTCTTCACTAAGCTTTGTCAACATTCTCTCTTTATGGGGTTGTTCTTGCATGCTTTTGGTTTGCCGAACTTTCCCTTCTTGATATCTTTCCCTCGCTAGTTTTCCGGCGAATCGGCCCACATGTCGCTCTGTAGGCACTTTGACAGGAGATAATTCAAACGGTGTTGGGACATCAACAACTTTTGCTTTTTCTTCTTTCTTCTTTCGCTTGTCTTTCAGTGCCCTGAAATGACATGAATGGTGAAGGGGATTTGGGGTGAAAAGAAGGAAACCTTTTCTGTCGACCAACAAACCGGTTGAGTTATGACCAAGCCTATGCAAACGCCTACTGTCATGAGTTATTAGACCTGGGTAATCGCTTGGGTAGCTGCAGTCAAATTGCTGTAGGATTAAGTAACTACATACAGCTGTAGTATGTCCAGTGCCCAACAGCCTCTTCCCTGCCTCTCTGTGAGATGTGGAGGGTGCCCTACTGCGCTTAGAATTGAATCATGTCGACCAGACTGTTCTTATGTATCTGGTACAATAGCTCCAGTGCATCAACCGAGAGAGGCGTAAGGAATGAGATGGAAAATCTTTTTCAGAGAGGAACCCTGGTCCCGCTGTTCCTTTGGTAAGAAATACGGATACCAGTTTTCAACCTCTTTTAAAGATACAAAATCAACCCGACACTACTAACAGACTTGTAAGATAGACTTCTTACACTTCCTTCAACTCTTACTGGTCATCCCGTTTGGCTAATTTTTACAAAAATTTTGTGAAATGGGTGAAAATCGTAGAACGTAGTTGTTAGGGAAGCCTGAAGGAAAAGAGGAAAAAATATGAAATAATCGAGAAGAAAATTAAAAGATTGCATTAGATGATAGTCAGTGTATTGCCGAGCCGAACTCATGGTATTACTTACTTCTTCTTCTTCTTCGATACATCCTGAAAAGAAAAAGATCAGTACAGACAGAGTTGAGGGCATTCGTCTCAATAGACATGTGGATGAAACCAGGTGGTTTGATCGAAGGCTCTAACGAGGAACCCGCGAACTGGTCGCTAAGGGTGTCTGTAGGCGTAGGTTAAGGTTAGGTGTGTGCGCGTGTGTGTTGGTGGATTCTTCAATAAGAAACTCATAAATCCTGTCCCCTTGGACCTGGAGCGCTCAAGCTTGGTATAAGTACAAAGGGCAGGATGGAAACTCTACTACTAGGTGGCAAGACGTGACTTTTCTCTGGAGGGCATGCGCAAAGACTGTTCCTTTGGACCTAGAACCTCCAAAATCGGAATGGTTGCAGGCGTCAGAAAGAATTTCCAAGAAAGGTAGGAGAACCTTGCATTAGCTCGGAGATTTGCTTATCTTCCTACAAGTGCGTAATTCTGCAAGACAAGCTCTGACTCCTCATTGGTGCACAGTTTCAAAAGCTTCGTCTTCATTCCACCTGCGACTTACTTGAGGTTCGGCGGTTTCATCTCTGTTGTGCCCTTTATTTGGAACAAGAATAGAAGAGGGAACTACTATTCGAGGTCGCCTGGTGGTCCAACAGTAAGAACTACAACTGATAACGATAAAAAGGGGAAATCGCTGACCACCGGTAACACTTCAGGTATTTCCTCGAATACAAGAGGTAGACGACTTGGGATATTCTTAATCATTTTCCTAGCCTCTTCACGATTTTTTCCCTAAAAGTATATTAATATCTTCTCAGCTTATTGGATGAAGATCTTAAATTATTAGTACAGCCTCAAGAAATAAAAATATCAATTCAAAAAGGGAGACCCACAAGTAACTCGAAAGAATCTTTCTTCCTTTCTACTTTCCATGTGCACCAACCAGGAAACTTTTTGAATATCAATGAGACATCTGTGAGAGATAGGAACAAAATGAGATGACCAAGGTTTTGGAAGCTTTGGTCCAGAAACTTTGAGAACTCGCAGGCAAGATACCTTTGTCGGGATCAACTGGCATGCCGGTGTATTCGAGACAGATTCGCAGCTTCTCATAGGCACCCTCATGATGAAAAACAGAAGCAGGTGGAATACTGAACGAAAAGACTGGAGCCAGCAGTATGAACAGTTTGTCTTTCCTTGGCCTGAAAATTGTGAGCTGATTTCGTAAGCTGTGCAAAACATCAACAATCAGCAAGGGAAAAAGGGCAGTTTCGCAATAGGGCGGCCCTGGATGGTACCAACCCCACGTCGGAGTGGTGGGGATGCGGTGACAGACAAGTCCCTCCATGGCAAAATTAGCCTGCTACACAAACTTTCCTGAAGAAACAAGGCATGAAAGCAGGTGCAGTTATCAGTGGGGAGTATGGGAGTCACCAGTAAGTTCAGTCCTTACAATTAGTCGAAATGGTCGGTTTTTCTGAGTAGGGCTCACGAACTCCCTCACCAATTGGAGCAATCGAAATTCTTTTTCCCTAACTACTTTGGCTTCTAACTTTTTTACTCAATCCTCTCTCATAGACAACCTTTGCAATTAGATATCTAGGAGGGGCGTGTTTTAATCCCTTTTTGGGGAACGATTCAGGAAAAGCAGTGAACTTTCCCGAATAGTGGCAGTACATCGAAGCGCTCACGTATTCCAGTGTGATGGCTGTTGTTCGTCACAGAAGCAATCATAGGGCCTTCGGAACACTTGTAAAGTGAACTGATTCGGGGCACGAAGGTGAGGTATTGCATGGAGGTGTCGTCCGGGAATCACACCGAACACCTTAAAGTATGAACTTGTTCTTAAGGATACTTGGATGGTAACCAGAAGTAGGTAGAAATGTGTAATGAG